TAAAAAAATTCTCAAAAGAAAGGAACTATGTACAAATAATTAATTTCATTTTGCTTAGACTCATCATGTACGGCTTGTACTTTTACTTAAATTTTACATATTGTCCAAACAATTTGAAATAAATAGAATATAAAAACACTTTTCGCTTGGGGTTAAATTGTTCATAAACTAACAACTTGAAGGTAAATGTGTTATTTCGATGAAAAATATCAGTTTAAGGGGAATGAATGCATGGATTAGAAAATGATTTGGCAGAAGTTCAATGACTGAACATGCTTTCAAAAAGTGGAGTGAACTGACAATTTCACCAGAATAAGAGAAAAGAGATTTGAGCTGCTTTTACCCGACATTAATTAAATGCATAGAAAAGAAAACAGGAAAGAAACTAGTTAATTTTCTATGAGTTGTTGTGTCACAAAATACATGTACATGTACCACTTGCCACGTACATGTACATCTGGTTCATCCAGGCTGTTAATGCCAAGCTGGGCTGCCAGTCTGCTGTAGCTGCTTCTTGCATCTGTCTTTTTGGTTCTCTGGTAAGCACCGTCGATATCGTGCTTCGGCCGATAAAGATATATCGATATTTTATACATTTAAATTTCAAGGTATTATAATAGGCATGAATTACATGGAATCTACTCTTTCGTTCGCTTAAAAATAAGGCCTGACGCCCTGACACCGAATCTGCGTGGGGGGACGTATTAAGTCGTGAACCCCAAACACGACGGGTGATGTAGTCAATGTACAATGACAACATCAGACCCTTAACTTGCAGATTTCACGGCATCTACCTAATTGTGCAGGAGTGATTTCGGAATCTAGATAGAGCAGCAGCCCAGAGCATTTTGATCAAACGAACGAGGTACCAACATCTGAACACAGGAGTATTCATGGTGTAACCTAACATATGTCTGCCGGGGACCCCCTGCTGTGTGTGGCCCCTGGGGACCTCAGAAAGACCCCCAAAATGCACTCGATCAAACATTGGAGGTACCGTCTGAAACCAGTTTAAAATGAACAGGTACATCACACAGAGTACATAATGGCCCCTGTCAGACAAATAGAGCGCCCCAAAATTGCCCCCAAATTTGACCTAGATCAAATATTGGAGGTACCACATGAAACCATTTTCAAATGAAGAGGTACATCCCACATAGCACAGAATGGCCCGTGCAAGACAAATTATCTGCTGCATATGGCCTGCCAGACACGCCCAAATGTGCCCGATATGCCCCATTATCTCAGAATTGACTTAGAGTAAATAACGAAAGTACCACTTAAAACTAATTTTTAACAATCGGGTACATCCTACAGAGAACAGAAATCGCCACACCAGACAAATTTTCTGCTGCTTAAGGCCCACCAGACACCCCCCCCCCCTCAAAGCTTTGAGGAGGGGGGGGGGGGGTGTCTTGTGGGCCTTAAGCCTTAAGGGCCCCCAAATTTGGCCGGGATTAAACATTTGAGGTTCCACATGAAACCAATTTCAAATGAAGATGTACATGTACATCCCACAGAGCACAGAATGGCCACTGCAAGACAAATTAATTATCTGCTGCAATTTTTCTTTGATGCGGTTACATGGTGATAAGCAGTATTCAAACATAATTACCGAACTAATCCGGAGGTACATGTATGCTAAGTCCCCTCCATGGGTGACAGTAAAAAAAGTGGCCATCGCATAACATTACAATGCGAGTGAAAAAGCTACACATTCTGCCCTATAACTACTTTGGTTAGTACACACAATATTTAAACTGCGGGGCTATGAGTGACATCCTTAGGCCTTAACGTTGGATGGATGTTCAGATCTCTGTTTCACTTTCGGGGTCATCACTCCAAGGTAGTTCGGAACTTGAATCATCAGCATCGTCGAACTCGGTAGCTACATGTACATCTGGTTGGTTGCTCTGAAGATCCTCCATACTGTCATCCTCTAGTTCCTTTTCCTGGAAAAGGTCATCTGGGACAGCAGGTTCCAAGAACCAGTCTTGGGCATAGTATCCATTCTTGTCCTTCCACCCATAGTTCAGAGGATCCAAATCATGTCCTGGATGTGGCGAGTCAGCATTTCCCCATAGGATGCTGATGAAGTGGGTCTGTCGTGATTGGTTGTGCAGAGTCTTTGCACTAGGTGGAAGTAGAGCACAGTCAACCTTCTTTACATTGGTCATCAGGTTTTCCTGAAAAGAAGAAGATATTTGTAGATGGGCGTTTAATGTCTATCATTACTTTGCTATGGATATATATGCACTACAGCATAATTTATATAAAAGATTAATCAGTTTACCATCCCAATGTGCTGCAATTAACACATCCCACCCGGAAACACACACACTGAAAAATTTGCTAGATTGTTCTTGATTAACACTTTTGGATAATTGCCTGTGGTATGCTGCACCCAAGTTTCGTGGTGGCCATTTATTTCAGGTGCACTAACTACATGTACCATATATTGGCCCCTATATGTTGAGTGGTTCAATCCATATAGGGTGTGGTTTTGTCCTTATATGGTGTGGTTTGGTCTAAATTTGGAAGATTGTGCACCTGCAAGAATTGTCATATAAGCCATTACTCTAAACAAGTGTGGTTGATTCAACGCCCAAACAATAGAATTAGCCCCTACCCGAAGGATACCAATTAATACGTGATTCAATTTTCCAGTCATCTGATGCAGTTTTGTGTATCTCGCCTCATTGATGTCCTTGACATCTCCCTTCATTCCATACAAGGAACATATGAACTCTTTGTTCCTGTAGTGTCTTTCTGAAGAACTTCCAGTGGCTTCACTTTACCCTTTTTGTAGAATGCTGTGGTGAAGTCACAGCCTGTTAATGCATGGAGATCTGGCATTGCTGCAGCTAGTCCCCTCTGCGTTGACTCCATGGCGGTGGCAATGCTACTGACATCAATATGTCGACGGTTATTTCCTGAGCCACATTCCATAATAATGCGACTGTATGATGTTTCCCTGTGACTTTCCATGTGCCTTCCTAGCAATGCAAGGAGTATAACAATGACGTCAGTATCGGAGGCTCTGACCACTACATTTCCAGTAGCGTTAGCTGCATGAAATGCAAGGAGAGTGTCAGCTTCCTCGTGGCTACCCTGGAGATGGGCTGGATGTTCAACCCTCATCTTGAAATCAAGCTCATTGAAGGCAAGACGGGCACAGTTGCCACCATGGGAGACGACTAGCATCTTCTTCGCTAGGATTGGTCCGTACTGGTCTTCTTGCCATTCTTGGAGAAAAAACATCGCCAATTGATCTTTGAAACTCCCGTTTTGCAACAATTTCTGACAGCTCTGTCTTGGTGCTTGCTCTGGACCGGTAATGACGAATGGACGGTCATCTGCTCCACAAAGTTTCCTCTCACTCTCTTTCAGGGACATGGGTTGATACGTATCAAACAACACGTGGATCTCATTCCCGTGGCTGGCACAGACATATGCGAGAAGTTTCCTGGCAAGGTGTCCATATGTGTTGATGTTCCAAATGGCAGATAAGAAGGAGTGGATCTTGAGTCCACCATCGATCAAAGTCACATCGGTCGGCGGTAGTGGTGTTTCTGTGAAACCGTCCTGTAGCTCTTCTAGTCTCCTCAGCAGCTTGCTCTTGTCTGTCTTGAGGCCTGATCCATCCGAGTGTGTGATAGACAGTGGGTAATCTGTAAGTGGGAAGGTCATGACATGTCTGAGGTTGAAGGTACTCTTCTCTGAAATGATGACAAGTATGCGAATGAAAACATCCCTCAGACTCTCAGCTGCAGATTTTCCCTTGGCAATTGGACGCTTCTTCTTTAAGTTTTCCTGTGCGAAATTGCACACTTTTTTTCTTTTGATTGGCTTTTGATTGGCTTCAAGAAACTTTTATCATCTGCTGCGCATTCCTCTTGGAACTTCACACGAAGTTCGTGGCCAGCGTCAAGGCTTCCGGTCAGATACTCTTGTGTTTTCTGGGATGCTGCTTTGCCTGTAGATATGTTCAGGAGGCAAGCAGATGTTGTTGCCATTGAAGAGAAGGGGTCACAAGATTCTGTGAATGCTTTGATCAAGACATCCCTTTGGCGACTATCCTTCTCAATTCTGCTTGACATCCTCAGGAACATCCGCAAGCAGCTCCTTGATGGCATCTTGCCTTTCCTGGGTAAGAGTTGACTTGAAGCTGTCATAAATCTTTCTCTTCATGGCAAGGGCAAGGATGTCATGGATCCGGACACACCAATTGTGGTATTTACCACGGATGAAACCCATCAGTGACCCTTCAGCCAGTATCCCACATTCCGTCAGCAGGTGTTGTGCACCACTCTCATTGATGAATGTGCCAATGGCACCGTAGAATGCCAACTCCAAGTGGAAGTTTCCAAGCATGATGAGGAGCTTGTCAAATAGAGATGCATCCAGTGCTTGGATAGAGTATGCTTTGAGAGCAACAGCTACATGTAGGTCATATGTGACAACGCCATACTCTTGATGAGTCTCAACAGCCACATTCATTGTCCTTTTCATGGTTTCACGAACAACATCATTTCTGGTTGGCGGCGCTGATATTGGATCCATACACCAGATTCTTTGTTGCGGCAATGGTTTCGCAACCTCTGACTGGAGCAACCAGTAAAAATCAATGACACGTAGAGTTGGTGCTTTCTCTGGTTCCTGATTTTCATTTACTGCTGATAGATCAAAGCTGACTTTCTTAAGCTGCTTGTAGTACGTACAATTTCACGTTCTTTCCCATCAAACTGTCGTCTGTTCCTCCCACCGCGGACACCAGTAATAGGCTCATCATTGACAAGTTCGTTTGTGCTTGTGGCATCTATCATATTCTGGTAGCAGATCCCAACTGTAGCATGTGTAATCGGCAAAAATGGACCGCTCGACTAAACTAAATAAAACTAAACGCTGGGGGAACTCACTTAAGAAAACTCAATTAATCTAATGATCGAATAGGGTAAAGACGCGAGGAAATGCAAGAAGTGGGACAGTGACTCAAAATGTAGGTTTCCTCAATAAACAAAAATAAGAAAAATAACTTTATTGATACTAAAGCAATGACCAAAAGCCAAACCAGTGTAACCTTAACCAAGACCAACACACAGTAAAACTATTAAACGAAACCCAGAATTGAAACAATTAAAAACACAGTGCCAAAGAAAGTTACAGATTAAAATCAAAATGGCTTTCAAACCTGTTAAATAAAACAACAAAAAATACAATCGATTAAAATACACTTCTTCAATCAAATTTAAGAAACACAAAGTCTTAAACATTGAATCCAAACTAAGTTTATAACAAAAGATACTTCCAAGTCCGATCTTTAAAATACAACTTTAGAAATGAAATTCCAAAGAAATAAAGGAATAATATGATTGTCAAACTAATCAACTAATGAAACAACTAAATAATAAAACAAAGTTTAAGCTTACCGAGTCCATATAGCAGTAAGGTCTTGAAGCAGGCAAAACTTATAGAGTAAAAATCAAAGCTTGGGAAGGGAGAACAAGTGTGGGTGTTCCCCTTGCGCTGCCAGTCTGCTAACTGAAGTACATGTACATTATAGGGGTGACCAACCACACTACCAAGGATTATGTAAGAGGGTTCATTGTTTATTACACAGGATTCCTAAGAAATTAACTAAGGGGGTGCTGGAAGAGCTTAAAGGGGAAATGTAAACAGTGGAAGGGCAATTAACTCTAACATCAACACAGGGTCTTTCTACACCTGCCACACTTGCAGGGTGTCCTTTCCGTCAATGGTATCCATATTAACGTCATAGTTATCCCATGCGAGTCCTGTGCCTAGGTCGGGATTCAGTTCCACACCATCAGGAGTGTCTCAATCATTTTCTTCCACTGAGTATGCAAATTCCGTCTCTAACGCCTTGACCTCATCATAACTCAAGGAGTTTCCCAGACGATTCAGCATACGTAAGATCAATTTTGAACCAGTCAAAGTCCCAACCCCCAATCCAAGTACGGTGTGTTTCCAAGGCCGCACTGCACCTCTTGCTGTGTTGTAAACGGCATCTGATGACATGACTGTCACTTTACTGCCCACTGCATCTCTGTTATCATTGCCAGAAGGTTCACAAAGGCCACAGAGGAGTGTTTTGTAAAACAACAACAACTCATCTGGTAGTTCAGGTGAACATGCCTTCAGTGCTGCTACAGATGTTGGAGTCGGCATTTCCCATTTGGGCATTGCCTGTATCACGGCTCGAAAATAAAGTGCTGCCGTTCGTATCACATGGAGGTGTTTCTTGACATCATTTGACATCATTGACCCAGTTGCGCCAAAGATATTTCATTCATTTCATGCAGGCAAATCATGAAGATTCTTCACCTTCCATGACTATGTAAAAAGATTTCCTTAACCCTAACCCTGCCAGACCAACATATTGCATCAGGTGGAAAATTCTGATGCACTTTCATGCATTTAGTTATCAACACCAGTGCATTACCGGCCAGTGCTGAAACAATGAGAGCTTTAGGCCGAGCGTCCTTATTCAGTTACTGGGCGCGCCTCGGCCCGCCGCGGCCCTTTGCGGCGGTTTTTTTTACCCTCCCGAGTTCTCAGTGAGCCCGGCGCAGTGCGGCGCAGTGGACCCAGCCACAGCTCATTACCGATCGGCTATTGTGTTGGCATCATTGTTATGTTAATTGGGCACTCTACCAGCTAGCCGCTCGGCTCGCTGCGGCGGGCTGTGAAGATTAGTTGTCAGTGCGCCCCGGTAGCCCGAGAAGATTATCTCGTTTAACAACAAAGGCGATTAACTCCCCACGAACAAAAGCAATTGACCCCTTCTATTATACTGGAGTTTCAAAGCAGCACGTCTAAAGCCAGAATTGGTACCTTTCTTTCAGGATTGATAAAAAGTGTAACTCCCCCCGAACAAAAGCAGTTCACCCCTTCAATTAAACAGGTACAAGTGGAGTACAAGTTGGTACCTTTTCTTTCACGATTGAAAAAAAGTGTAGGCCTACATGTACAAACTTGGTGAAAAGATGCGTAGGTGACATAGGTCTAGTGTATGTTTTCAGAAACAAAAAGTTTTATCTCAAAAACTGGGAGGATGGATGCTCGGAATAAAATAATGCCATCTTGCGGGACAAATTTAATAAGTCTAGTAAATATTGGGGAGGCTGCACGCACGAAATAAAAAGAATAATGGGATCGGGTGGGGCGAATAAAACCCGTCAATATTTTTGGGAGCTGGATGCTCGGAATAAAATAATGCCATCTTGCGGGACAAATTTAATCAGTCCAGTAAATATTGGGGAGGCTGCACGCACGAAATAAATGGAATAATGGGATCGGGTGGGGCGAATAAAACCCGTCAATATTTTTGGGAGCTGGATGCTCGGAATAAAATAATGCCATCTTGCGGGACGAATTTAATAAGTCTAGTAAATATTGGGGAGGCTGCACGCACGAAATAAAAGGAATAATGGGATCGGGTGGGGCGAATAAAACCCGTCAATATTTTTGGGAGCTGGATGCTCGGAATAAAATAATGCCATCTTGCGGGACGAATTTAATAAGTCTAGTAAATATTGGGGAGGCTGCACGCACGAAATAAAAGGAATAATGGGATTGGGTGGGGCGAATAAAACCCGTCAATATTTTTGGGAGCTGGATGCTCGGAATAAAATAATGCCATCTTGCGGGACGAATTTAATAAGTCCAGTAAATATTGGGGAGGCTGCACGCACGAAATAAAAGGAATAATGGGATCGGGTGGGGCGAATAAAACCCGTCCATATTTTTGGGACTGGATGCTCGGAATAAAATAATGCCATCTTGCGGGACGAACTTAATAAGTCTAGTAAATATTGGGGAGGCTGCACGCACGAAATAAAAAGAATAATATGGGATCGGGTGGGGCGAATAAAACCCGTCAATATTTTGCCGAAGCTGAATTAAAAAGATTTCTTAATTCCAAATAATTTTTTTTCCAGGAATCGGACTTCATGATCTCACTAATTATATAAAAGAAATCAATAACATAGAGATAAGTTCCATTATTCAATATTTTTTCTGTACTTTATTATTTGCTTCTCTTACCATTCCTTCTATACGATTTTAATAGTAGTTGTGTGTATTTTTGACTACAGTATTACAATTACAACATTATTACAGTTACAATTACTTCATTAGACACTAGCTCGCTGTGATAAAATTACCTTAAGAAAACTACAGCCCTAGTTTTGTGGCAAGTTTTCTACATTTCCCGTTGACGGCGTCAGTGACCGATTTTCTGTATGCATCACTCTCTGTCGCTCCAGGGAACTCTTTCCCTGCCTGCGCTAGTATCGCCTGAAAAACCATTTGGTGTTTTAGTGGACTCTTCTTGATAACGACCCCCCCCCCCCCCCCCTTGCAGACTACTTCAAATAATTTCAATGCGCAATATGGTATGTCAAATTTGTCGTACTTCCATAATAAATACGAACTAATTTCATAGACAGATGCAGTACTTCATGTTTTTATATGATTCTTTGTTTGGAGTACCCTGAAGAAATGATCATCAGACACAGTGTACTATACATATAGCCTGTATCACTGTTGATACATACAATTCTGATGAAACAACACATCACATGAAAATAATTAATTTATTTAATTGGCTGAGTATCCTTTGATTTGAGCATTTTTATTTTCTCTTCGGAAGTGGTGTGTTGTCTATTACAATGTCTTCTGGCTGGTTTCTTTTCTATACATTTCCCTTCTTGGAGGCCTTTGCACTGGTTGAAGCAACATACACAGACAGCATATTATGTCCGAACTGTTCAACAGTTGGGTTGTCCCAGCTTCCCCCTGCAGCCCGCTGTTTGCTGAAGTACTCCTTCAAGGGATCTTGGTTTAGTTTCTCACTGAGAAAGTACTTCACGCCAGGAGAACTCAGCAGAATTTTGGCAAGTTCAATAAATGAGGGGACTATAGAAATTGAGAGAAAATGAAAATAAAGAACAAATTAAATTAGTTACTTTTTAAATGACATTTCAAAGGGACAACTTGTTTTACGAAGTTCATCACTTCAGCAACCTCCATTGTCAATGATACCCCTTAGAAAAGACTGTTTTCAGGTGCCCCCACCCCAAAAAATCTTCAGTTAGTTTCCAATCTCTATTTTAAGAAAATATCTACATTTTTTTTGAAAATCAGCTACCTCCCCCCCCCCCCACAAAACAAACTCTTTTATTAGTTTCAAATCCCCCTTTTTTTTTAGAAAATATCTGGGAGTTTGAAAATCAGCTTCCCTCCCCACCAAAACTCTTTTATTAATTTCCAATCTCTTCTAAGAATATATCTGCATGTTTGAAAATCTTAAAAATAAAGAAGGATATCATCCAACAATGTTCAAACTTGCAATGATTTCAATGTTTTTAAGCTCCATAATTTTCTAGCATCAACTGGGTCTGCACGAAACTTGGGTCAATGGTGGAGCACTATCTTTTGTTGATCATCCAAAACCTCCCATGCCAGAACACAACTACTGCAATACTGTTGGCACTGATTGTTCGTCTCCTACCAGTTATGCAGAATCCTTGGATGGTTTCTTTGCTCAGGCACATGCTTTGTCGTTTCTTGGTGTCCAAGTTTGGAATGGCTGCAACCTGGTCCTCCCAATCCTTGAAGAACTCGAGGAAGTCAGTCATGAGCCACTGAAAACAAAAAGTCCCCAATATTCTTTTTTATGAATAATTACATGCACATGAAGGGAAGGGAAAGAGAGGAGAGTTACCACTTGTTTTTACAGTAATTATGCAAGTTTGTAAGACATCTGTTATCACCACATCATTTGATATGAAAATGTTTCATAGTCACAAATTAATTTTTGTTATTTAAATAATGAATTCATATAATACTCTGTGGTTCAATTCCATTGCTATGGGAGTGATAATATAGCAGGCGGCAGTGTCATTTGAACAACCAGTGGGCTGTTGAGATTCTTTACATGGCGATCAGTGTGAGTTCCAGATCAACGGATTAGCAGCTTTAATAATAAAGAACATGGTTTACCTCAAATCGCCAGTCTTCCACACTAGTGTATGGCTCCAAGGCAGGTTTACATGACCGCATTCCCTGAAGTGGGTTGCTAACGTTCAAGCAATCAAAGAATTGATCCATCAGCCTGATGAACTTCACCATGGATGATGTTCCAGACTGATTCATTGATTCCAGGGCATTCGCCACTGTAGAGCTCAATACCTAAATTCTGAAAAATGGGTTATTAGCTACATATTACTAAATAGATTGTAGGCCTATAGGGTACAATATTTAAAATTCCATGAGATTTCAAGGGAAACGTAAACTTCTTTGACAAAAAAGGGACGAAATAGGCTCAACCATATTTCTACTGCTTTTGATATCAATGTCAATAATAGCAAACCAATTAAGACTAAATCAGTCGCTCAGCTGAAAATTGCATGCCTATTCAACCAAAATTATGTTTCAAACGAATTCATTTTACCTGAACTGCCATGTACACTCTCATTCGAAGTGACGGTGTCAGATGGAGGTGCTCGTATGAGAATTTATGTAGACGATGAAGGCCAGGCAAACTCCTCATCAATCCAACGTCCCATTCATACAACTGTAAGAGCTGAGGCACATAAAATACATACTGCACATAAAATACATGCACAAAAAATTCACATTATCTGCCTCAAAATTTTGTGTTGTTATAAAAATCTGACAAAACGTTACTTAAAATTGAAATTGG